ATTGTGTCTCCATCTCTGGTAATCAAGTTGGCATCTTCAACAGCAAAGACTTGTACAGAGATTTCACAGCTCCCTTTTCAAGTTGGATTCCTCTTTGTACTGGCTCATGCAGGGGATAAAAATGGTGCTTCACTGTAAAATAACCTTTTTCTGTTCCCTTAGCACATTCTCTGCTTTACCACCAAGAGCCGGGGGTTTTCAGCCTGTGTGAAACCGCAACTTAACTGCTTGAGGGGGATTCTTTTGTCTGGGCTTTGGAACAAGATAACCGACTTAATCTTCCTAGTAACACGTGAGTCGCCATGTATCATTTTAATCTGTGAAACACTGGGGCTGAGTAGTGTCACATGCTGATTTTACTTTTCTATGAGAAAGTGACTCCCGGGCTCAATGATGGATTGCTTGTTCCCTTTAAACAACAGTCAAGATGGTGAATGCCCTGGGGTGACAGACAAGAGTGTGCAGTGGGAACCGGGGCAAAGCTGATGGCCCGGTTCAAGTTCACCTGACAAAGCTGGAGCAGTCTGCAAGCAGCATTCGAGAGAGGATTATTCACACTTGCGTTCTGTTCCTGAATGCATTCTCCCTCCCCTGCAGCTGCAGAGCTCCGGCACACTGAAGGCTTAGGCACCATAATAAAGAGATTTCTTTTCTCTCTCATTCTCCCATTTCATACACACTACACCTAGTTTCTACGGAGCTGGAGCGGTTCAGGCTGAGGACGGCTGTATATCCAGACAATGCAGAGCAAACGTTGTCTTCGGAACAATAGCCCCACTAAAGTCAGTAATGCCAAAGTCAGCGATGCTAGCCTGAAGCGGGAAAGATGAAAGTTGAACCTAACCCCTAAAACTCAGCTTCTAAGACAGAACTCTATATAATCTACAAGTGAGAGAGTAAAATCAAAATGAGTTCAAACTGGAAAGATGATAACGGAGTTTTCGGAACCCTTCCTTGGATTCTCGGTGTCCATCTGATGAAGAGTGATGCCTGCTAAAGGATGGAGAAGAAGGTTGGAAAGCTTTGAATACTCTAGCAAACTATGTTTCTGTATAACTTAAAGGTCAGAATGAGGAAGTTCTGATTTTTGATTTTTGGCCCACCACCGGGCTGCAGAGTAATTTCTGGAGTCTGGTAGCTAAGACACTTAGCTTCTTGCCTTTGTAGCAAGAGAAGAGAGCAGTAAGCGCTCACCGACTGTGAAAGCCACATAGGATCATTATCAGCAGGTCCCTCCATCCTCTTATTTAAGCAAAAGCGAGCAAAACATTGGGTGTTTAAGCAGATGCGATAATAAAAAAAGGAGGAAAGAGGAGATAAAAAAAGAAAAAAGAAAGGAGGCAGCCTCAGGCTCAGTGCAGCCTGACAAGACATTTAGCCATGTCCCTAAGGCCCCAGTGATCCCACCCTGCCCTTTTGCCCTTCTGCACACTGCTTCAGGCTGTGTCTGTATGGACAACACCATGTGGGAGTGATGGTGTAACTTCTGGGGTGAGGTGATACAGGCGCTGTGGTTTCTTTCTGCCTGTCTGGCCTTGGATGTCTCACTCAGCCTGAAGCAAACTGTCAGGTCCTGTGGAGGAGGAGGAACTGAGGCCCCTGACCTTCCGCTAGAGAGAGAAGCCATTCTACTAAAGGCTGCATGAGACGGTGGATGCTGATTTCCCCCGGCTCTCTGATGACTGCAAACCCATTAGCATACCGACTGTCACCTAGTAGGCCCCCTAGTCAGAACTGCCTCCTAAGCCACCCCCAATTTCTAATCTGCAGAAATAGCGAGGTAGTTAATAAACGCAGCTTTCGGGCCTTTGGGAGTATTATTTGTGTTCGTGATAGTATTAGATAAATAATAGAAAGACATTTAGAATTCAGCTGCAGTATGGATTATATGGTCCAATCTCAGATTAGCATTGGCACTGGGTGAATAGTGGTGGCTATTCAGTTATTTATGTGGGCTTCCATAGGTTGGGATGGGGCCTGGGAGAACAAAGGCTCTTAGGGAAGATACTTTCCACCAGAAAGTTGTAGAATTAAATTTTAGCGAGCATACAAAATAATAGACTTTATTGTGACATTTTCTTTATAATTTAAAAAAATAATTTTGTATTATTATTGTATACATGTCCATGTGTGACATGTACAAACTCCCAGTGTGTGTAGAGGCCAGTGGACAGCTATTATGAGTCAGCTCTCTCCTTCCACCTTTCCCAGGCTCCAGGGTTTGCTTTCAGGCCACAGACTTACCTAGCAAGTGCTTTCATGTGCTGAGCCATCTTGCCAGCTCCATCATGACTTTTATCTTCTCTTTACTGTCCCCATAACTTCTCTCTCCAAGTAGTGTTTTATGTCACACATATGTTTAAATCCAGGTTGTACATATGACCAAATATATAGTATTTTGGCCTTGTCCCCTTTTACTCTTGTGTTGTAAGATCCACACAAGAAACAGGGTGCAGGGCCACATTTCTGTAATCCCAACACTCTGGAAGGCAGAAGCAAGCTGATCTCTGTAAGTCTGAGGCCAGCATGGTCTACAAAGTGAGTCCAGGACAGCCAAGGCTACACAGAGAAACCCTGTCTTGAAACAAATAAACAAACAAACGACCCCCACACAAGAAAGATACAGATAACCACACTAAGCCAAATAAATGCATATGAGTCCTTTACCAGCTGGCTCATTCATCAAAGTCTATTAGGGTGGAAGCTGAGGGATACAGTGTTTTTAAAGCCAAAACTCACAAAAAACATAATTCACAGCAAAGTTAGGTGAGGACCAGAATAGCCTGGGTTTCTGGTAAGACACAGTAATTATTTCAGACATACTCTGACAATTACTTTTGATTTATGCCTTCTTCCGTTAGTTTACGTTAATTACTTTGGTTAATACATCCGGAATATGGTCAGGATCATGGGAATCTAAAATGTATTATCGAGGCAGGTGTGACTGTTGGGGGGTGGAGGATAGAGGGCTGAGAAGTGTCCAAGCAGACACAAAATGGAGTAAGAACAAGATGGCGTCACCTTAGTTACTTCATTGGGACTTTCCTGGGAGATGTAAGCAGATGTCTATTCAGACATAGCACCAATAACAAGCCAAACAATTATCTTTTCAAATCTAGCTTAATGAATCAGTGAGTTTATTGAGTTTACAGGAGCAAGGGAGACTCAAAGCCAGCTACTGTCACCGCAGCATGAGTGATGCCTCATTAGAGGTTTATCCCTAGGGCTAGCTCCCTGAAAGCACCTCCAGTCTGGCCAGAGAGTACCCTTCCTGGCAATTTTAAATGCTTCTGTAACCCTGGAAGGGGGCCTTGTGTTTATTTAAGTTTTAAACTTTCAAAGATTAGATGTGTTTACTTTGTCAGACTTTCTTATGGAGACAGCATGCCAAGTTCGTCTGAGTTGAGCTTATTTTTACTTAACATTTCTCTGCAATGACATATTCATTGTTTGTTATGGTTGAATAATATTCCATTTTGTACTGATACCACGTTTTCTTTACTCATTCATCTGTTCATGAGCAACTGGGCTAAGATCGTCTGCCCTGATATTTTTGTGTGTATGTGTGTGCACACATGTGTTTGTATGTGTGTGTGTGTTTGTATGTTTGCTCATGTTTGTGTACATCTGGAGCATAGAGGTCTAACCATGCATCTTCCTTGTACCCCACCTTATTTTTTGATACAGGGTCTCACACTGAACCTGGAGCTCATTAAGTTGGCTAAGTTCACTGGCCAATGAGTGACCCGAACCTGTAGGAAGAAGGGATCTGAGAAAGAGGACCAGGGATGAGAAAATAAGAAGACAAAAAGCTGGGACCAGGAGATTTTGCATAAGATGATGGCTTATGCTAAGCAAGGTTGCTAAGAAGTACAGCATCTCATATACTGTTTGTAGGGGAAGATGGGACAGAATCAGCAGGAAGCTAATTCAGCAATGCTGGCAAGAAGAACACAGATTACCTTAGACACATCAGTTGCTCTGAGACTGATGTGAGCCTTCCAGTGGCAAGAGTTAGATTCCCAGAAACCACAGCCTTCACTCCTTTAAGGTCCTGGTCTCAGCCCTAAACTAAACTAAAATGGAAGTTTCTGGCTCCTATGGAAACTCATTTATGTCATGTGAAAATGTTTTTCGTTTTGGTCCCAAGTGTGGGATGTGGGAATTTTGGCCCCCCCCCCTCATGTGAAGGGTGTGGTTTTTGCCAGCTGGAAAACATCCTTGTGTGGCCTCTGAGATGGGATAAATAGAAGCCCACAGACAGTGAGAGAACTCTTTTCGCATAGCTACACTTGGCAACAGTTCACATCATTTTGCTGGTTTTCCATGGGGAAAAGCTCCAGAGAATTTCCTGTGTTGCTTTGGTGGAGTTTTGCCTTGGCAGGAGTCTTGCTGCTTCTGCTAAGTGGTGCCACCAATGTTGCTGTTTGCTGCTGCTGCCGTGGTTTGCTGCTTTGCTGTTTGACTGGACTGCTGGTATCCTGATGACTGAGATTGGTATATCCTCAATGAATCCAATGACCCTAATCAGCAGGAAGTAGCTAAAAAAAAAAAAAAAGGTCCAAAGCTCATTTCTCTACTAATCTGCTATTTAAGGTTGGGGTTGGAAGGGAGGAAGGGGTGTCTAAGAACTTTAAATAAAATAGGTTTTTGAAAAATCTAAGCCTACAGATGGAGCCCCACATTGGCACCAAAATGCTAAAGTTATTTTTATATAAAACTGTGCTTGTTTCTCAGTTTTTCTCTTAACCTGGCTATCACACAAATAATTGAGACTCCATTATATTATTTTAGTAAGCTTCACAGCACAAGAACTGAGCAGTTTTAACTCTATTCTTAACTCTCTAAGCTAATCTGGCTTCCTCCCAGCATGAATCCCACTGATACTTCCCCTTTGTAGCTTTTCTGCTCCAGCTCTTTCTCCTGATGTTTCCCAGACCTCTCTGTGGCTGAATCCTCTCTTCCTTCTATAACTCCTCTTCCCCTAGATGGCAGGAAGTCCAGCCTTATTCTCTTCTCTGCTCAGTGATTGGATGCAAGTTGCTTTATTGGTATATCTGTGGACAATTGGGGAGCAATGTTTACACAACACTGAGACAGGAAATTCCCAGAACATGGATGGCAGCCAGAAATGGGGAAAGGTATAGAAATCAGCATTTGGTTACATAATCACTTCATGTCTACATTGGACCTTGCCAAGTCTGCCCCTGGGCGAGGACAAACCAGCATTCCCTTTGTTTTTTCATGTGGGCCTCTGAGAGAACCTTGGAAAAACCTCCCAACCCCTTCCTGCCATTGCTCCATACTTCAAATGTGCCATCTTAGAATACCATGTGTTGATTGTTTCATGGTTCTCTTAAGACAGGAGACTGGACACCACAATGTAGCTAGTTTTCTACTCTCTGTCTCCCAGGGCTCAAGGTATTGGCCAGACTGTGTTCGCATCTATCTGCAGCATGACCAGAGAAGAATCCATTTCTAAGCGTGCCAGTTTCTTCCTGAATTCTTCCAAGCAAAGAGAGTAATAAATAGTCTATTGGAATCTGATAGTATTTTCTTCTAGTATTTCTGGGAATTCTTTAAGGGTCATATTTTCTAAATATTCTGCAATAAGCGTGTACATGTCCTACCCAAAAATAATATTAAGTAATTTAAAGCTAGGCATAGTGATATATTCCTGCAGTTCTGCCCCTTGAGAAACCAAGGGGGACAGCTGGATTGACCCAAGACGGTCTCAGAGTCCATGATAAAAGGATAAAGGGAACTTTAGTTTGGTGCCCTTGTTCAGAAGTGGACAGGCCAGTCTAGTAGGAGTTTGGAAGACAGCAGTGCTGAGAGCAGTGTAGTCAGTGGAGGTCTAGCTCAAGAGGTTTCAGCATAAAACAATATTAACAACTTCTTTAGAGACTGTTCCTGTGATATACTGTCAGAGAATCTGGCTGCTTTCTTCTCCTTTCCTAAGAACTTGTCTGAGGCTAAATTAAAAACCAGCAAACTAGTTTCTCTAGTGGAGACAATTTCATGGCAGCATTACATTAATGGTTATTATTATTTCAGTTTAGTTAATTTATGTGTCTACATGCAAGTTTGTGTAGCACATGCATACTTGGTGTTCTCAGGGGCCAGAAGAGGGGATTGGAACAACTGGGACTAGAGTTAGAGATGGTTGTGAACTGCCATGTGGGTTCTGGGAATTGAACCTGGGTTCTCTGGAAAAACAGCCAGTGTTCTTAACTGCTGAGCCATCTTTCAAATCTCCCAGAATAGTTACTACTAAATGCATGTTATGCAGATCTACAATGAAAAAGAGCAAGTGAGACCAGAAATACAACATGTATAGTCTGAAGAGAAAAGGAATGCTACCAAATTTAATGTTGCAGCCAAGGCTCGTGCTGAAAGAGATAAAGAAATTGGAGCCATTAAGGAGAGGCCTGCTGCTCTGCCTCAGGACCCCACCCAACTAAGCTTCCAACTTGTCAAAGAAAAAGGCATAAGGGGTTTTCTGCCCCTGGAGAGCAATTTCAAACAAAAGCTGCTGACAATGGGCTCAAGGGGGCAGAGCTTTTTCCAAACTGTCCTCCAAAGTTGGCAGTGTGATCCATGTGGTATTGGCTGTAGGGTAATGAAGGATGCAGGTGGGACGGAATTGGGAATTCATAAAAGTCTCAAGAGACTGTTGTACGACGCTGTGAAAGTGAAGGAAGGTTGCAACGGAGACCTGTATTGGATACTCTTCTGTTGTTGTGACAAAACACCAGGTCTAAAACAATTTATAGGAGAGTTTATTTGAGCTTATGCTTCTAGAGGGACAAGTACTTCATGGCACAAAAACATGGTAACAAACAGCAGGTTTGGTGGCCAGAAGGAAAGGTGAGAGCACGTATCTTCAGACACAAGTAGAAAGCAGAGAGAGCAAACTGGAAATGGCATGAGTCTTTAAAAACTTTCAATGCCCACCTCCAGTGACATGCTTCCTCCAGCAAAGCCACACCTCCTAATCCTCCCCAAACAGTACCACCAACAGGAGACCCAGCATGCAAATGCTCAAGACTATGGGGGAACATTCCTCATTGGAAACTACTAGAAGACCACAAGATGTTGAAGATGCCAGAGCTGTGAGATATCTGCCAAGGAGAGCAGCTTACAGGAAGTGGAACCAGCCCAAGAGAGAGATGTATTGATGATGTCAGCAAAGCTTCAGGTGCAGAGCCATGTGAGCCCCATGAAATGAAAGTCCCAGACACCAGATCTGGGGTTATAGGGTTTGATATTTGCCCTGAAGGTTTCTGTCTTGCTTTGGTCTAGTATTTCTTCACTGTGACCTATTTCCTCTCTTTGGGAATGGCAATGTATGTTCTGCAACATTATATGTTGAAAGCATGTACTTTGCTTTTTGATTTTTCAGAGGGTTACAATGAAGAGCCTTGAGTCTTAAAAGTGATTTTGGAATTTGAAACAGTACAGAGACGGTGAAAAACTAAGGGGACTTTTGAGACTTGATGAAATGAGTTTTATGTTATATGACCAGGAGCCTAACAGGCTAGTGAGTAGAATGTAGTGGCTTAAATGAGAATATCCCTACAATCTTAGGGATTTGAACACTTGGTTCCCAGCCTACGTCTTACTTGTTTTCTCTAGCGAAGGTCTAGTCAGAGAAAGGCGATGGCATATTTCATTACAGCTTGCATGTTGGTTATTAAAGAAATAAAATATTCCCCGCTTTCCAAAGTTTGTAGTCACGTCTTTCTGGTCAACAGAGTGAATCTGAGGGTCTGTGAGATAGATGAGGCCTTTTCCGTTACCAGTCACCCAACCTAAAAGAGAATGAACACATCTGAGCACCACATACCCTAGAAATGTCAACACATACACATAGACACACACGCGCGTGTGTGTGCATGCACGCGTGTGTAAACTTAAAGAGAGAGATTTAAGTGTGAGTACACTTAAAGAGATAGACTTAAAACTTGATCAAGCCGTGTTTTATATTTAGTAAGTTTTTGCCAAGAAATTTAAGATGTATATCCTAATTACTAATTTAGGGAAGAAAACTGAATATTATATTGTTACATGTATCAAGTATGAACTACTGAGAAAACAAATATTCACAGAATATTCATGTAGAATAATTATTAAAACCTCAATGTTAGCTGGGTGAGGTTGCCCGCCCAGTGTAACCCCAGCAGTGGGGATTACAGAGGCAGGCGGGTCTCTGTGAGTCTGAGGCCAGCGTGGTCTACAAAGTGAGTCCAGGACAGCCAAGGCTACACAAAGAAACCCCGTCTTGAAAAATCACACACATACACAAAGTCTCAGTGTTGAGCACTTCTGTCTTGATTTGTGCATTATGATGAATACAATAACCAACAAACTAAAAAAAATCATTAATACTGATGCATATTTTAAGACAAACTTAAGCATAAGCAACTTTCTTTTCCATAATGATTCCAGGTATGAAACCCAGTTATCAGCTTGATAATTGATCTATGGATGAAGAACTATGGATAACTATGGACATAGAACTAGAAAAAAAGAAGAAAAAAGTAGAGATGATTTTAAATTAGATAGTTTTAATTAAATTAAATAATTTTAAATTAAATTAATTAGCTATTAATTTGCCTGTGGAGGCCAGAAGGAGTGTCAGATGACTTGGAACTAGAGTCACAGTTGGGAGCTGTCAGCCATGGATTGACCCTGGGTCCACTATAAGGGCAACAAGGGCTCTTGACCACTGTGCCATCCTCCAGCACCATGGAAAAAAGTTGAGAGGATTTTGAAGTAAAATGCAGTAGTAAGAAACTGATTTTGCCTGCATCCCCTCAAGTGAGCGGAAGCTTGTAGTGACTGCTCTGCAATTGAGCCCAAGAAACCCCAGGCTCATGGATCAGGAGATGCCTAAGTCACTCAGGAATCATTTGCTACATGCAGAAATCAGTTGCAATATTCAGAATTAAAACCAAACCCCTGCTTTACATACCTTGCAAATCAACGACCACGTCTCTGTGCTTAGAAAACTCATAAGAAAAATGGCCGTAAGCCAAGCCATATTCTGTAGCTTTGTACTCAGTTTTGACCACTTTTGTGTTATTTGATAACTTGACAAATTCTCCAAGTATGTAAGGTTCCACACTGATGCATCCCTTTATAGTCTTGTCTTCCAAAATCTGCAACATAGAGATGGGAGGTAGTACGCAAAATGGTGAAGGCCACGATCTCTGCAGTGGGGAAGATCTCAGTTCGGACTGAGGTTCTGCCATGTACATTTATTAATCTAGACTTCAGTTTCCTCAGAGGTAGGTCTAAAAGTAATAATAATTACTCTTTAGTTTTGTCAAAGGATTAAATTATAAATACAAAGCACCCAGAATTATCTGAGGTGCATAATAGAATCTAAAGTGATTATTGTTCATAGACTAAACTGCTCACTTAAAAATTAGGCCACAAGGGCTGGACAGATGGTTCAGTGGTTAAGAACACTGGCATTCAATTCCCAGCACCCATATATTGACTCACTTCTATAAATCCAGTCACAGGGGATCCAATGCCCTCTTTTGTCCTCTACAGGCACAGAGCACACAATGATGTACAGACAAGCAATGCAGACAAAATATCCATACACATAAAAAATATTACGACCCAGTTACCTAGCCTGAGGCTGGCTTGCCAGATCACGTGAATGCATCATGCCTTGGGACTAGAGGTTGATTATTAACGCATGCATTTCTGCAGGAGGAAGGGGTTAGCATCAATGCCAGCAAGATGCCTGAGTACTTTCTGACATAAATGACTTTCTGTTACTCTGACATCACCCAGGCAGTCCAATTTCTCTCTCTCTCTCTCTCTCTCTCTCTCTCTCTCTCTCTCACACACACACACACACACACATATTTTTAAACAGGATGAAGTTGAAGAAGCAGATGAAGACGCCTAGGAACTGATGTGTTAGATCTTACAGGACCATGATAGCAGCAGACTGGTGGTAGAAATCTAATCTAATATGTAGCTGTAGGCTTGTTTAATTAACCAAACTCGTGCTTTACCAGCAGGATCGTGGATGGGATGTAGAATATCTGGGTTGGGATCTTTTGCTCGTAGAGCCTCTTGTTAAACTCTGTCACATAGTGTTGCGCCGTCATCTGCCGCTCCACATCAGTGAAGTGGTGCCGGAGCCCCTTCCACTCTTTGTATTCCTTGCCGACATATCTACGGATGGACGGACAGAACCCACAGAGCTACAGGTGAAACCGATCTTGACTACAGAGTAAACGAAACATGCAGTTTGAAAGATATTTTCTATTTCAATGTCAACAAACTTTTTTTAAAATTTTATTTTATTTTATTAATTACACTTTATTCACCTTGTATCCCCCCATATGCCCCTCCCCCTTCCCTCCCAGTCTCACCCTCCTTTCCCCTTCTTTACTCATGCCCCTCCCCAAGTCCACTGATAGGGGAGATCCCCTCTCCTTCCTTCTGATCTTAGTCTATCAGATCACATCAGGAGTGGCTGCATTGTAATCTTCTGTGGCCTGGTAAGGCTGCTCCCCCCTCAGGGGGAGGACAGGAACTCCACAAGGAGAGCAACAGAACCAGAAAATTTGAACACAGGGGTCTTCCCTGAGACTCATACTCCAACCAAGTACCAGGCATGGAGATAACCTAGAACCCCTGCACAGATGTAGCCCATGGCAGTTTAGTGTCCAAGTGGGTTCCATAGTAATGGGAAGAGGGACTGCCTCCGACATAATCTGATTGGCCTACTCAATGTCAATGGTCTTAACTTCAGATTGAGATAATTTTGTAAAAGCCACTTCTCCAGCAGAGCACGGCTCATGCTGGCCGGCCTGAGATGATGAGGGGTATGTAGGGAAAGTGTCCACTCAGGGCAGCAGCTCCTCACACTTCTGTGTAAACCAGGGGTCGGCATGCTGTACTGGAGTGTGGAGGGACTCTGGAGCCTGACCCTGCTGTCTGCAGTATGGCTGTAAATGTGTCAATAAGGAAGCCCTCTTCTGTTCCTTCCTTGTGTGATTATTTCATTCTGTGAATACTAACTTTACCAACACCCACTATGGGCCAGTTGTGGCCGTTCCAGGGGTGGTGAGGAAAGTACGAGCCATTAGATATGGAACTTTTAACGGCTCATGGTATAATCAGACAGAGACTATAAAAGGCAGTAAGTAAAGGATACAATAATGACAGTGCATGCCCCTGTTGTAACTTATACTTGCTGATGATGTCATATGTGCTTGGAGGGACCTACAAAAACCAGAGGGGGTTGTCAGCATCATAGACCACATGGGAGCAAACCTGCATTAGAAAGCTCTGAATCCAATATGTGACTGAACTCAAGGAGGCTACAGTTCTGGCTATTAAGACGCCTGTAGAGGAGAGGGGATGACAGTGAAAAGTGCACACACAGGTGGCTCAGACAGCATCTCAGACAGGATGTGTATACAGTGGGTTTAGACATGTTTCCTTGGTGGGCTTGAGATCATGTATATATAGCATCCACATACTCATACGATATAATTTTGTGAGGTATGGAAACTGTTATCAGTTGACTAACGACAAAGAAGAGAAGTCAATATCTAAAATTCTACATTTTGGCCACATTCCAACCCTTTCAAAATCTCATAGGTGACCACTTAGCCAAAAAGAAAATTAGCCCAATTTATGTTGAGAACACACATGTTTTCCAATAATACCTCCCCAGAGTTTCTTCTTGATGAAGGTAGTGGACCCAAAACGCATTTCTCTGCTTGCCTTTCTTCTTCACTTTCAGGTAATCTCCCAAATACGCCACAGTTTCCTGGGCTGTCCATAACTCAGACTTTTTGGAATATTTCAGCAGAAGGGCATCTGGGGGAGGGGAGAAGGTAAGGCTTCTTTAAACCATTTTGATTATAGCTTGGCACCCAGTAACCACACTTTGCATGCCCACCATAGGTGCCTGGCAACTCCAGGGATTTAAATGTGCAATGGGTAATGTCGAATGAACACAGGTCCAGAACTGCCTCATCAGAAATGTCCATCTTTGAATACGTTCCCTCATATTATGACCTTTTCTATAACTCCTTTTAGAAAGTCAGTTCAGTGAAAATGTGACACTTTATAAATGACAAGGAAGAATAGCTTTTGATTCTTGCTTGGTTACGTATGAGAGGAGCCCAATATAAGACTGAAGTTTTCGCATGGGAGAGGATGGAAAACAAAGGCTTATCAACATATGAAGACCATGCTGGGGTACGTAGTATGTGCTTGCAACTTCTTAAGATCTGGAAACAGCAGAGGATCAAGTTTACCGCCTTTGGCACATCACACAAACATGAACAAACTAGTTTTGCCTCAAAGGCTCCCAGGAACACCAGGGATTCTAGGCTGCATATGGCAGTGTGCCCTCGCTTTCTCTTACTTGTTTTGAATTAGTGGTAGACAGACTCAGACACCGCATCAGAAAGAGCAGTTACTGTATGTAAAGGAATTTTAATTCAGAACATGGCTGCTCTGGCAAGAGATCACATCTAATGACCTCCTAGGTCTGTGTGATCTTGCCTTTAATCCAGCAGACAGAGGCAAGCAGATCTGAGTTCAAGGCCAGCCTGGTATAGGGCAAGTTTCAGGACCTAAAGAAAAGTTTAGGGCCAGGTGTGGTGGCATATGCCTTTAAAGTTAGTTTCTAGAAGGTAGCACCCATGTTTGAAAGTGTTATTTACTTGAGTGGCAGAAAAAGTGATGAATCAGAGAAAGATTTGACAAAATAGGATATGCCCAACCCTCACAAGGAGAGAGAGGAAAGGGATGCTACTTAAGAGGCAATGCACACACACACACACACACACACACACACACAGGAGGCAGTTTTACCAGGACAATAATAGAGAAACAGGTTGCAGAGAAGGAACACAGTTGAAGACAGAATGAGGCAGAGAATGAGAAAAAGTCAGAAGATTAGAAAAGATTTCTGGAGTTTGAGGCCGAGCAGGGCAATTCAGAGGTCGAGAGAAAAGCCAGATTAAATAATTCAGCTGTGAAAGGGTTTGAGCCAGAACAGCAGAGTTGAATCAGTCAGCCCAGAGCTCAGTACAAACAAGAAAGAGTGAACTTATTAAGCAGTAAGTCTCAGAGGCTGAAAACATTAGATGTACGGAGGCTAGAAACTTCCGGGACCAAGCCTCGGTTAGCAGAAGGAGGCAGTATTACCCCAAGAGACAACAATTACCTCAGGAGAATAAAAGATTCTTTTACAGCTGCACAAAGATGCAAACTCTATTGAAGAACGAAAGAAAAGCACATAGCAAAACGGCCTTTTTTTAATAGGGAAAGACCAGCAGGAACTCTAAGGAAGACACAGACTGTTTCGATATTCAAATTAAAATCGAGTGACCGAAGAACTCCTGTGCCTAGTTGTGACTTGGGAGGGGGTAAACAGAAAAAAAAAATTACTTAAGAGATATCCACAGGTGTGGGAAGGGAGCGTGGTGGAGTGGGTTGAGGGTAGAAGAGAAGGGGAGCTGGTAGAGTGGGTACCTGGGGTTGGGTGACTGGACTGGAAAGGTGAACTGGTTGCCTACATTCAGTGATGCATGAATCAGAGGTGATGAGTCAAGAGGAGAGAATGGAAGGACAGCCTATTTCTGAAACTTAGAGCCTATTCCACTCCGTTGGGCTTTTATTTTAATTAGTGAAGAAATAGCAGCCTAGCTCTAAAAAAATGTGGTTCTGAAATCTCGCATCTCATAGACAGGAAATTCTACGACTAGAAAAGCGATTTTCCTGGTGAATCACAAAGTGCATCCTTCATGACCACGAGTGGGAGACCCAGCAAGCTTTTCCCCGGGCTCCCGGCAGGTACTTGCCGAGGCCTGGAGCTAGAGATTTAAAAAGGTTGTACTTACTGTGTGCTCGTTGGAGTTGGTTGGACTTCAAAACTCCTGTATTCTCCAGTCTCTGAAGCAGCCAATCGTGCCTCACGCCTGCCAGAAGTTTTTCCAGGTCATCAGGCTGTAGCGTGCGAGCCTCAAGGATCTCTTGCCTGGTCTGTCCTGGCAGTGGGATGAAGGAAGTTCTGCTGGAGTTCAAAAGGGACCATGAGCTTTCCCCCTCCAAGGAACCGCTAGAAAAGGCAGGTAACTTCGGCCAGCCCTGTGAACAGGAGCTAGAGTTCTGGCTCCACTTGAGCATGCTTCCAACTTCCTTTTCTTCTGTGGTGCTGCAGTCCTCCTCCAGGGCAGGGAAGGGACTGTAGCCATTCACAGAGGCATTTGGCCTCTCATCTCTCTGACAGGACCTCAGAGCTCCTGGTCTGTGAGCGCCATCTTGGCCAGTGGAGTAGACCTCTGTGCTGTCAAGCATTTGGCCCTCCTCATCCACCGTAGACGCATCAGGGTCGATGCCCTGGTCTTCAGCTGAACTGCCAGCCTTGGCTAAGTCAACATTTTGAACAGAACAGTGAGGAGAGAAAGTCTTACATGTCAGCAGTGAATGGTTGCCTTCTAAATGTCCCAGGACCACCTGAGAGTGTGATGGCCCATCTTCTGTGCTTTCTGCTGTTTCTCCTTCCGGGTCAACCAAGGAGGGGGCGTATGTAAATGAATGCCCCCCTGTGCATCTTTCAGTGAGTTTTTCCCTGTTCTTTCCTCTACAGCAGTCTTTGAAGTTATGCTCGGGTTCTGGAAAACCACCAGTTATTTCACAGCTTTCTTCTTCTTGAATTGAAGGATATGTGGCCATGTCTGTGAACCTGCCAGAACTAGACAAGGACCCAGAAGCAGAGCCACGGGAAGGACTGGACTGAAGAGACGTATTCCTAGGTCCTGCATTTCTGACCTCGATTCCTTCAGGGGTTTCTAATGGCCCTGCTCCGGAGCCCAAGCAAGTGTCTGTTGTGCTGAGAGGAAGGATGGGCTTTATCATCGTGTGCTTTTGCAACGGACTTTGTAAGGACTCTAAGTTGTGATCTTCAGTTGCCTGAAGAGAGAAGCCATGGAGCTTTGAAAACAGCAAATTCGTAGCTCTGCAGCTTCTGTCCCCCTTGGGCTCCTCAGACACGGCCGTGGAGCACTGAGTGTCCACAAGATTTTCCTCTTGGCCAGATTCTTTCCTCTCTATATCTATATTCACTTCCTCCCAGCTGGTAGAAGAGCTGAGCCCTGACAGTTTGCTCCAAGAGCTGGAGCTACGGCTGTCGCTCAGAGACTTTGAAACACCTGCCCAGCCACTGCTGCGGCTTGGTGGCTCTGTCTGGGTCCCCACATCTTGATCAAGGGAGACTCGAAATGCCTCAGAATGGGTCCATCTTCTCCTTGCTCTTTGGAGCCCCTCCTGATCTTTCTTAGCTGCCTGGGAGGAGGCTGTAGCCCTGCCCTCTTGAGAGCACATTTTCTCTAGAGTAGCACCTACAGTATCCACGGTGTTTGTTTCTGTTTTCAGAACAGTGATGCAGACCTCTGCTTTTGTGTCTCTCTGGTTGCTTTTGCTGCTCCCGCAAGTGTTTTCAAATACCTCGCATACTGAAGTATGGTGCTGGGAGTAGGTTTGAAGAATTTGTTGGAAATCCACATGCCCATGCAAGATAGGCTTATCCAAGCCACATTGGAAAATCTCTGGGACATAAGATCTATCATCTAACTTTGGAAATCTTTGAACTTGTAGATGTCCCTTCACCTGGCTGACGAGAGACATGATCTCTTGAGACAGGGCTTCTCGCTGCTGGCTTGTGGAGGATGTGCTGAAGGCGTAGAGCCTTCCCATAGCTTCACTGCAGAGGCACCTTGCTGCACGGACTGCATCTGTCTCCCCATGCAGTCTGTAGTGCACTGTGGTGAGGCCAAAAGCAGCTTTGATGAAGCTGTGCAGCTCCTGCTTGCCACTAGCCAGCTCACCATCTTTCTTGGTCAGGAGGCCAATCTCAAAAGCCTCTTTAGCTTCACGTAGATACGCAGGTTTCATTCTTGGAGGACAGTCGGTAGAACAACTGTAGGACAATAAACAGGTGCCACGGATATTCTGTGGAAAACAGCAAAGGCAGATCAGAACTTGCATTGGGTACTGGGTGTGAATCAGGTTGTACTTTTCTTCTCTTTTTTTCTTGTCTTTACTTTTTTTTTGAGACCAGACTGGCCTCAAACTCACAGAGATCTACCTTCCTCTGCCTTCTTAGTGCTGGGATTAAAGGCATGCACCATCACACCCAGCAACCCTTTTTATTTCCAGAGGATAACCACTTAAAATAATATAGAAAAACAAATACACACCACAGACATCCTAGAGAAGGTTCACTAATGTTTAATGGAGCATGTGAGGTTTTGTTTTGTTTTCGGTAAGGGAGAGGGGATGGAGACATGAGACACTGACTGGGAATAGAGAGTAAATAATACTCTATCTTTACCTCCCATCTTGCCATTACCCTGATGCTTGCACACTGAACATGGCAGACTTATGCTCCTTGCCGTTGTTCATTTTAGCAAAGGTTTATGTGGGTTGGGTTGTCCATTTGATTGGTTTGAGAACTTCGTGAAGACTTATTAGAGACAATTACCTAAGGGGCGGAAGACCCACCTCAAAGGTGGGTTATACTATCCAATAAGCAGGAGTGAGATTGAAACAAAAGGGGAAAAAGTAGGTCAGATGCCTGCTAGAACCGGCAGCCATGAGGCTGAACATTTTGTTCTTCATAGCTCCTGTTACTATATTTTATCTGGTATCAGGTTCAAAGTAATAAAGCCAAGGAACCACAGATTGAAACCTCTGAAATTGTTAGCAAAAACACAAATAAGAACAACAACAACAAAATCACAGCAGAACAAAAACCAAAGAACCAAACACCTTCCCTGAGATTATTTCTCACAGTATTTGTATTTGCCGCAGTGACAAAAGCATCACCAACACACAGTCTATACCCAGGAGATAAACATAATTAATTCTCTAGTCAATAAAGATATTGACTTAGTTACAACCCAAACAACAGAGTAGTGGGTGTTAAGCCTATCTGCATTGAATCAGCTAAGAGTCATTTCTCTATACCTGCGCAGTACTGGTTTCCCATGTGGACACCCAAATCTGTGGACACCCAAGTCCTTTGCGCAAATGGTATGTATGTACACTATGCACACACACCACCTGTAGATCATTTATAACATGCATCACAGAGTCAATACTGCCTTGTCTAGGATTTCAAGAACAAAACGTTTGTACATGTGCTCTACAGGTGCAAGCATTTTGATTCAAAGTTGTACTGTTAGGGGGTAATTTCTAAATCGATCAATTAATTGTTAACTGTTATGTGTACGTTTGCCTGTTCACATGTTCATGCCCATGGAGTCCAGAAGAGGGTATTAGGTTCCCTGGAGGTGGAGCTACAGGCCACCCGATGTGGGTGCTGGGAACCTGACTCAGGTTCTTTGTAGGAGCAGAACTCTCTCTTAACTGCTGAGCCATCTCTTCAGTCCCAAAGTTAACTATATTTCAAAATGAAAGATTTTGGAAGGTTAACCCAAGAGATTTGCATCTAACAGGCATAAAGTAGATCCCAGGAGCATGTGTTATGGACATGTTCCATGGGTAATTCTGATCTGCTGCCAGCCTTAGGAACCCTTGCTCTGGCATGGACAGCGTGACATGCTTGGCCTGAAGTAACTTAGCTGCTGTCAGGAAGTGGTCATCCTGACGAACATCACCTTTCACCCTGTGGGGTCTTATCATAATTGCCAATGAGGAGTCAGCACCGACTTTCAAGGTTAGATTCATCCCTCCCACTGGCTGCACGGGAGAACCTGTATTTACCACAGCCGTGAGCACAAACAGGGGTGTGTAGGCACTGAAGGCAGCTGCCAGTTTGCAGGCTTCCGCAGCTGACAACAAACGGTGGTCAAGCTCCTTGAGCAAAGCCTGTGGGGAGAGAGGGTAGAAAGCGATGCAGCAGTTATTATGTCTCCATTAGTAAAATGAAGCCTGCGACATCTCATTGCTTCTCTTTTAAGAGCCATCCCTTCTTTTTTTCAGCGTGAACCTGTCAGAGCAGTGCCGAGAGTGTCTAAGTGGGTCTATAGACTCCAGAGCACTGGACATCCTTTCCCCTAGACTCCTGTCTCACATCCCTATCCTGTATCCATAACCCCGAGGGTTTACCACGTGCAACATCTAGGAAAGAAAATCAGATGAGTCTCTGGAAAATAAGGGCAGCAGCTCCTTTTTCCTGGAAACCGCACACTTGGCACCCAGACTGACTGACAATCCCTGTGCTGTTCTTGGCACGGGGTCTTTAAGGCTTCACACCAATGAGGACTCATCCATTCGTTCTGGAAACATATACTGGACACCTCCATGGGGCAGACACAGTTCTAGACTTGAGGAGATGGGAGACAGTAAGCCCGCAAGGAGATTAAGTTCTATTGGGTTGAAGATGTGATCAGTGCATAGTTATTATAAAGAACAGTAATATTAGACAAAGACTATGGAGCCAATTATCTGAAGTGAACAACAAAAACATTTTTAGTGTGTGTGTTCAGGTATGTATAGTCTATCTGTGGGTGTCATTCTCAGGACCTGCCCACCATTTTATTTTATTTATTTGAGACAGGTCTCAGGCCCTGGAGCTCACAAATTAGCTACAATGGTTGACTAGCAAGCTCCAAGGCTCCTCCTATATCCCCAGTATTGGTATTACAAAGACTTGCCACCATGTCTGGCTTTTATGTGGACATTGGGAACCAAACTCAGGTCCTCACACTTATGTGGAAAACACTCTGCCAAATGAGTTATGTCCTATCATCCGTACAGGGTCTTATGTTTTAAAATTATTTCCTTTTTATCACCAAGTTTAGATACTGAATTTTGTACATGTTGAAAGGAAATAAATGGACTAAGAGTTATCTGATGATATCCCATCATTCATCCACTTGAATATTTCCAGGGCCCTGGGTAAATCTGAGTCAGTGTGAGAGCCTGGGATGACAAAGATAGATAGGACTCACTAGAGCTGCTCCCATTAATCTAGGAGGGATTCTGCTTCCAAGGCCTACTCTACTGGGAAAGAGATGGTGTAACCAGCAGCAAGAACAGCACTGACAGGGGTCCAGGGGATAACACTCAGAGCCACATTTTTGACAAACGACAGTTACCAAGTTAACTTGTGGGCTGTTCTTAAACTTTTCATAATCTGTTTGGCTCATGGAAACAAAGATGTCCGCCAGTATTCCCAGTGATGTGGAAATGCCCTGTAAGGAAAACAAACAAATCAGACTGGAATTCTCTCATCTCATGGCCTAGAGTCAATGACTCCGCTCGAACTACCTGCTTGTTACTATCCTGTGACTATGACAGTGGAGATACTTTTGAATCCAGGATTGAGGGAGCATCACATCCCAGGGTAGGAGGGTGATTTGAAACATGGCTACCTTGAAGTGGCTCTAATGGGTTATCAGCACTAACTTGTCCACCTAATAGGCCTGAATGATTGGCTCAGGAAGAGATCTCATACTACTCTCTGTGTTGTAAAGTAGGACAGGCCTCACAGAGATGACAGAGCGACAGAGCTCTAGGAGATGGAGGCTTCAAATAATGAGAGGACAGTCCCACAAAATGACAGAGAACAAGGCTGGAGAGACGACTCAGAGGTTAAGAGCACTGACTGCTTTTCCAGAGGTCCTGAGTTCAATTCCCAGCAACCACATGGTGGCTCACAACCATCTACAATGAGATCTGGTGCCCTCTTCTGGTGTGCAGGTGTACATGCAGACAGAACATTATATACATAATAAATAAATAATCTTTTTAAAAAATGACAGAGAACAAAATTACCAACAGCAAAGCAGGGGCTGATTCTTAGTTTCTTTAAGATGCTACAACATAAAACAATTAAAGAGGGTTTCAGCTCCCTCAACTCTCGGAAAATGACTTTAAACCTGAGTATTGTGGCCACATTGGCTCTGTCACAAACCAAGGGAAGGTTAAATATGTGACAAAATAGACACAGTGGCCCAGAGACCTGAATTTAGAGTTGGATAGTTAGAGATTACCACAGAAACCCAACATCGGCCAAGAGTCTAACTGTAACACAGACAGAGGTTACTAAATGTGCCTGCTCCTCTGTTTGTATAGAATAATTAAGACAGTTCAGACAGGAGCAGTAAATGATGAAGTTAAATTGTGCTGCAAAGATACAACAATCCGAAGACAAGCAAGGAGAACAGATGCTGCCTGTAGGCACACAACCTTCTTATCTGGCTGAGGGAGCGTCAAGTAGCCTATGACCGAGGCCCATATCAATTCTGCTGCTTCGTACCACATGCCTGAAAAACAAAGGAAGAATAAAGATAAGCTATTAACATCTGTGACTTAGTGTACAGATAATTAATAACTACCTGTATTATAAATAACAAATAAGTAGGGAGAAATTGTAAAACTAATACTTTAGGAAGAATCATTGGATCCTGTTAGGGAGACTCAGGTTAGATTAGACTGACAGAGCAATTTGTTTTCTCCCCTTGGTTGTATACTAATAACTTTCCCAGGTCATCAGAAAACTGTGAAAATTATATATTTGGTATCTGTCTTAATTAGGGTTACTGATGCTCTGACGAAACACCACAAGCAAAGCAATGTGCGGAGGAAAGGGTTTATTTGGCTTATTCCTCCACCTTACAGTTTGTCACTGAGGGAAGTCAGGACATGAACTCAAGCAGGTCAGGAACCTGGAGGCAGATGCTGATGCAGAGGTCCTGGAGGGGTGCTGCTTACTGGCCTGCTCCTTATGGGGTGCTTAGCCTGCTTTCCTATGGACCCCAGGACCACTGGCACAGGGGAGGCCCTACCCACAGTGAGCCATGCCCTCCCGCATCAATCACTAATTAAGAAAAGGCCCAATAGGCTTGCCTACAACTTGATCTTACGTGGCAATCCTCCTTTCTGATTATTCTAGCTTGGGTCAAGTTGACATATCTAGCACAGTATCTAACACTCTCATTTTGCAGTCATTTCTGCTATAAGAATGACAGTTGATATTTTATTAAAAATTTCAAATACTTTAGTTCACCTTTTAGTCTAATTAGGGTTTGGAAATTTTGCTCCAAAAGTTTGAGTACTCCAAGGAATGAATGAGGAAGCAAAGTCAGTGAATATCCACAATTCACAACTGTAAATTTCACTAACAAAACAGGAAAAATATTTTCTCTTATTAATCTTCTAAACAATTATGGGATTTTGTTTGTTTGTTTGTTTGTTTTTCAAGACAGGGTTTCTTTGTGTAGCCTTGGCCATCCTGGAACTTATTCTATAGACCAGGCTGACCTTGAACTCACAGAGATTCTCCTGTTTCTGCCTCCTGAGTGCTGGGATTAAAGGCGTACGCCACCACCTGGAGGGTTGTTTTGTTTTGGTTTGTTCTGTTTTGTTTTTTTCTGAACATTAGGTCTCACTATGTTGCCCAGGCTAGTCTTAGCCTCCTGGTTCAGGCTATCCTCTGGCTTCAGTCTACAGAGTAGGCTACACAAGTGTGCACAGACACGCTCAGCTCCTGGTATCCTAATGCCATTTTCTTCTCAACAGGACAACTATGGGAGGGGGTGTGTGACAGTTTTAGTCAGGCTCCACAGTAACTTCTTGTAGCCAGCCTCCGCATGTGAGCCCTGAGAGGGACAGTAACTAATGTCAGTACCTAGCTTTTGCAGGATTTGCCCTCTGATCTGTATACAGACTGACTGCACCAGGACCTTGTCGCTTTCATTTCTGTACAGCCAGGTACCTGAAACAAGAAGGAATACGTTGCCTTGAGTCAATAAGAAAATGGCCCGGTAAACTAAATCTATTTTCACAGATATCTTTGTGAACACACATGACTTAGGTTTGAGAGACAGCTCCGAACCCCATGACTCCATGGTCTGCAGCTGTGTTATCAACTGTCCCTAGGGTCTTCGTCTATGTGTCTTGCTTCATGTGTCTGTATTCACCTCATCCCTACCTGGGTTCCTCTTCTCTGGCTTGTTGGGAGTTCATGTCCTTTCTCTCAGATCCCAGATTCAGGGCTATTGTCTTAAAGGTTGCTACCCCGGGTCACCTTACCCACAGCGTGACCTCATTGTCTGTATGTGTCCCACAGACCGCAGGGTTGGTTCCAACTACACGGGTTAGTTTGGATTCTGAAGATGATGACTCCACACAGACCCAAATCTTATGAAAGAATCCATTACCCGTGCTGTGAGACTTGACTGGGAGAGCCAGGCTGACACCCAGGCTGGCCATTTGGCTGAGTAAAGGGAGTGGTGATCGGCTTGAATGTTTTTTGAGATGGTCATTTTGTGAGGCGGGTAAAGTTCTGAGAAGTTGGGTTGGGGTTGGTGGAAAAGCAGGCTGGCTTTTCAGGTTTTGTATTAACACCTATTAATTCTGCAACGTAGGGAGTTTGCTGTGACATTTCCACACACTTACACACTGTACTCTCTACTCTGTTATTCTTCTTGTTCTGTTTTGTCAACTGGCCCAGTGGGTGGCAAAAGGATGGAAGTGTCAGTGGTACGGAACAGAGTCAGGATCATCACTGTTCTGTCACACAGTCCCCTTTCTAGCTGCTGTGTGTGTGTGATGTGTACATGCATGTAGGCAGAGCGTGCTTGTTGTGTGGTATGTGTATATGTACATATGTAGGGGGCTCGTGTAGTGTGTGAGTGTGCATATGTATGTGAGGTATGTGCTTGTGGTGTGTATGTGTGGGTTTGTGTGGGCTATGTACTTGTGTGTGTCCATGGTTTTGCCTGGTGTGTGTAGAGTAGAGAAGACAGAATATGAGAACGCCATGCTGTGGCCACAAACAAAAGGCATGTGGTGAGTATTCACATCAACAACCTGTCTTCCTCTTAGAGCTGTCCACAAATTTCAAGAACCAGGAGCCAGTGCACCTCAGTCCATTGAACTCAAAGTTCACTGAAAACTGTGTTCAACGTTTTGGAAAAACTTGCTGACTCAAATGCTTACCAGTCGCTCCATTGTTGCTTATTAGGCTGCTCAGGATGTACTCTGCCTTTAGCAGTTTCCCTGAGAAGAAGCAAGCGAACATCACAGCGTTGGTTCAAAACATCCACATATGTAACGATACTTTCTGCTCTAGGATTGATGCATTTTTACAGGGACCATGTCCTTTTTTGGAAATATTCAGATTTAAAATTTAAATTAACAACTACATCATATATGAAACAAAAAGAAAGATATATTTCTTGAATTGGTAAAGTGGGAAGTTATAGACTATCTGGAGAAACAATTAGATATATGCACAGACAGACACACACAGACACACATAGACACAGTTTATCAATTCAGAGAAAGCTGGGTAGCAGAGGCAAACCCTAGTAAAAGGCGGCATGTCTTCTGTCTGTGAAAGCTGTACCACAAAAGGTTACAGTTGCCCAAGAACAGCACAATTTACACAAGAGCCCTCTCTATTTCTCCAGATTTGGAGCTATCTTTATTTTTTTTCAAGATGTTTTATTTCTGTTGGTTGCTACGACATGGAAGGGTCCTTGACTATGGGTTGCTGTTTTTCATAAGCAGCAAATGCAATAACTTGTTCTTCGATCACCCCCTCTTCCAGTTGACTCAAAGCCCCACATAGTCTGGCCTCTTCTACCTCTTTGTGCTCATGTCTGAATTCTCCCTTCTCCCTCTCATCCTCTTTCCTTGTCCTTCCTGTGACAGGTCATTTGGCCTACAATATCATTATTCCAAATGTCTCCAAGACTTGCCCCTCCCCCTCTCCTTCTTTTACTCTTCATTTGAATATTACTGTCATGGGAAGGAGATGATTTAGTGGCTGAAACAGTGGTTCTCAGCCTTCCTAATGCTGTGACCTTTCAATATAGTTCCTCATCACTGAAGAATCTAAGTCTGTGCAGTGTCACTTTTCCACCCTTTCACACTTTAACATCAGGCCAGGAATTACATACAGCAGATGCCCCTGGGTGAGGGCACAGAACGAGCATCCCCAGTTGTGGAGCACCACCCACCGAACCCTTTCATGAATGGATGGAAGGGAAACTGAATAAAAACCACAGTGAGCACTTAGAAAACGCTATTGTCACTTGCCCAGCAACTGCATACCTTTTGAAACTTGTTTACTTGGTTTTTAAATACTTTTCCCTTTACTTCACCTTATTTTCTTGCCACGATCTCCATGACAGCTTTTGGCAGTTGGCCATCCTGGTCAGCCATGAAATGTCAGAGGTCTAGTCTAGCTATAGGGTGAGCTTCTGGGTTCACTGGTTCTCTCTTGATCAGCTGTTCTCAACTTTTTTTTTTTAATATCCCAACCATAAAAACATCTTTGTTGCTACTTCCTAACTGTAATTTTGTTGCTGCTATGAATCACAATGTAAATATCTGATATAAGGCTATCTGATGTATGAGCCCTGTGGGGGTCGTGACCCACAGGCTGAGAACCACTGCTAGAGACACTGTTTTAGGGTTAAATTCTTTATACTTTATCTATGAAGCAAATGAAACAAAAACCCAACAGCACTGTGGGATCTGCTCGTCTGTGAGTCATTCTCCCTTGGTAACTAATTGCTGTCAGTGACACTGGTCTGTCAATTCACCTGCTATTTTTGTTTGTTTGTTTGTTTTGTTTTTGAGACAGGCTCTCCTAGCCCAGACTGGCCTTAAAATGATCCTTCTACTTTCAGCTCCCCGGTGTTAGTATTATTGGCTTGATCCAGTCAGTTTGTATGCCTGATTTACTTACTTTTTTTTTTTTTTCAAATTAGTAAATCCATTTTCTTTTGTTGTTACATCATATTCTTTTGAGTACACTAATTTTAAAACTGAGTCTTTCTGCTTTTTCTGTTTGTTTTCTTTCATTTCTGAATCCTACTGTCTCTCGTATACAATATTGCTCCCTCACATACTCCATTTCTTTTTTTTCTTATAATTTTAATAAGAAGTTTTCATCCACCAAGGATATATTGCTTTGGGCATCCTAGGCCCTGGTGTGTGGCTATTACCCCCACAGCACAGTTTTTATTTAGTTTTCTCATGCACCTAAAAATTACCATTCTTTAACTATTATTATTATTATTATTATTATTATTATTATTATCATTATTATTATTATTTACCTGATGATATTCCTAGCCTGATGGTTCAGGTAAATTCAGACTTCTCTCTTGCATTTTGGCACAAATTTAGATTTTTATTTATTTTGGGAAATTTGTTTGCATGCTTTGTCTCTAGCCCAGAGCTTGGGCAGACAGCAAGCCTCCTTGCAACTTCTTCACCGTGGCTGGGGGAGTCACAGTCTCCTTTCACAGCCTGTCTAAAAGCCTTAAGAATCCTACCTTTCTGCACCTGCTTTTCATTGTGTGGCCCTGTCTTTGGTCTCTGCACAGGGATTCAAACCACAGTCCCTTTCCTTAAGACTATGTTCGACGAAAAGATGTGTGTTGTGAGCAGTAGTCTAAGGCTCTGGCTCAGAACATTTACTATGCCACAAACACTTAAAAATCTTTTACGTGTTTGTAATGGGAGAAGGTTTGGTACTGGCTTGGTTGTCCATTATTCTGGAACCGGAAGTCAGTGACTTTCTCTGCCATTGTGCTTTGAAGTGTTTGCTTCCTCATTCTGAGTGAGCTGAGCTGCAGGCCCAGTGTGTTTTCTCTTGTTTCCCCGACATCTGCTATTTTGGTATCTAGAATGTATTTTGGAATGCGTGTACATGCGTGCGTGCGTGTGTGTGTGTGTGTGTGTGTGTGCATGTGTTATGTGAGTGCATGCACGTATGTGTGCACGAGCGCTTGTGTGTGTGTTCAGTCTGGATGTAACGTATGAAAAGAATAAAAATTTAAAAATAAATAAAATAAGTGTAAAAATATAAAAAGAGACTGTGGACACACCTGCCTACCATCTGACCTCTATTTCCTTACCTCATCACAGCAAAATACGGAAGCTGGCTGTCTCGCAAGTGCAACTTGATGGGAGCCTGCATTAACACTCTGCTGTTGCATGCAGCACTCATCACCCCTCACCTCTCTTCACATGTTACCCACCATCGGGTACCACCAGAAGCCACGTTTATTGCTAGATCTGCCTCAAGCCCCAAACACCTTTAATGCTTTCGGGACATCTGAAGGGAGCCATTTCCCCAATGTTCAGCTTTCTCTAGAGTTACTCTGGAAAAGTCAAGAAGGAGACACAGGCACAATTTCTGCACAGTTAGAGCTTGCCTGAGTAGGCTTGAGCTTTTGCGGTGCTTGGATCGACTGGGGGCTGGAGCGGCCAAGGGGCTCTACACTGAGCAGGATCCCAGTCCCGACCTGGACTCTCCACAAGCCCGTTTTCTCCCATGCTATTTTAGATCTGTCCCCTCTTCATCGAACAATTGTCCCGTTTAGTATACTTACTAAATTGTCCCATTCAAAAGAAATGAAGTAAAGAGACTTTAACATCTTACAGATCAGGGTGACTAAAATATTAGCAAGAGCTGAAACCAAGCCAAAAAAAGAGGGGGTGGGGAGGGGGCTGGTTGTCTCTGAGAGGGGTGATTCGACTTCTGGTTTCAAAAACATACTTTCACTGCACTTTGTTTCTAAATTCACAGAGGATGGGTAACTCAAACAATCGTAGACGCGTGTGGAAGCTGGGTCCCGCTGTCACACACCCAGCCCCCACCCCAGCCCTACTCCCCTTCTACATCTTAAGTTGGCCTGTCAGCCTCAGTTTTCATTTCATCCAAAGTGACAGGGGGGGAAAAAAAAAGATACTTTCAGCCCTAATCAGGTACTGTACCGGTGTTCTCAGTGATGAAAAACCCTCAAATTGCTTCAGTGGGCTGTCAGCTCCATTGTTGCCTTAGTCAAGTGGCCCTACAGAAAGGAGACAGGAGAGCTAAGAGAAAAGAGTCGATTTCTAATCTGCTTTTTAAAGGCTCTTGGTCAGAAGTATAGCAATTCAGATGCCCCTGTTTGAAAGCAGCGGGACAGATTTGTTAGCAGACAAAGGCTCCAATTAGTATTTTCCACACCCTTTCACAATTTTCTCTACTGCTTTTGGCTCTGAAACCCCTTACGCCAGGCCTTTGTGCCTGCCGAGAGGCGGGCGCAGGGGCAGCGCGGGCTGGGGCGGCAGAGGTGGCACCCGCCGGTGCCCGCGGGCGCCGGGAGAGGTCAAGTAGCTGGGAGCGGGCCGGGCCGGGGACCAGCCGGCGCCAAGGGACGGAGCCCACCTGAGTTGACCGAAATCCGGGCTTGGCGGATGACCACCTGGGGGGCGATCGGCGTGGCAGGCTGCAACTTGTGCAGGCCTTTGGCGACCTGCAGGAGCTTTCCCGAGACGTCGAGTCCGTACAGGAACCGGTCCATCAAGAAGACAATAGCGGCGGCCACGGCGCAGTCCTGGACGAGGATGGAGGCTCGCAAGGCCGCCTGCAGAAGCCAGCCACAGGACACAATGAACCAGACAACACCGCCGGCCCCCCGAAGAAGCCCGTCCGGGCGGGGACCCAGCCTAGCCATCTAGGTATTTTCAATTAAGACAACAACCAAGGCTGTAGCTACGGGGAGAAGCATACTTTAGTTAAAGTGAAAGAAAAAAAAATCATAAGGAAAAAAATAATTAAGGAAAAGTTCAATTCGGTTGATAAAATAATACTGTCTTTGGTGCACTTCACCCCTTCCTCTATCTAAGACTGCTGGCGAGAAGTGCGTATTTCCTGTTAATTTAAAACAATATAAAAGTGGGGCACAAACTTACAATACCCCGTTCCCCCTCCCCCCCTTACAGATTTATTTCCACTCTCCTCTCTGTCTCCAAGATAAGGGTTTAGGTGAGATCCCTTTTGTGCACACGTAGACAGTAACTGATTCTTGCTCTTGCCCTGTCTCTGTCATTAATGGGATCGCTCACACTAGATGTACTGTTCTTGGCCGCCTTGGTTTAGGCATCCTTATATCAGTGAGAACATTTCACATTTGTAACACGTAGTTTCATTTTTGCACACACGCAAAGAGAGACTGAAGATGTCATACATGCATATAATGTGTTTTGATCACATCTGCCCTTTGCCCTCCTCCAATGTCTCCCCCTCCCCCTCTTCCTTCACAGGCCCTTCCTGTTAAGCCACTGAATCCGCTTGTCCACTGAGTCTGATTGTCCTGCGCCTGGGGCGTGGTCAGGGACTGAATCCCTGAAGAAAACTTGATCTCTGTCCCCCAACAGCCATCCACTGCCAGCACCCCCATTTCCTCATGCATGCTGGGATTACACCTAGCTGATCACGTGCAGGCCTCGTGTTTGTAGTCACAGCTGTGGTGCACTGCACTCAGACTTGCCACAGCACTGCCGTGTCCAGCAAACATTGTTTCACGGCAGATGGCCACTGCCTCTGCCTCTTACAATCTTTCTTCCTCCTTCTGAAATGATTCCAGAGCTTTGGTGGTAGTTGTCCCACTTAGGACTGAGCACGTTTTGACCTGGCGCTCGCTTGAACTATCCTTTCCTGCAGAAAGAAGCCTTCCTAATGAAAGTGGAATGATCCAGCACCTACTGGTCTGTGGCAGGAGCTGGTCCAACAGGAAGAGGCTCTGGGCAGACTAAATGCATATACTTGACATCAGCTGGCTTGAACCCCTGATCCTTCCTCCCTGCTTCAACTTCCCAAGTATTCTGATTACTTATAGGTGCCCTCACACCCACCTCTACTACATATGTTCTGATTAAGAAAGTACATTAGAGCAAAATTCGAATTTGATGTTTATTATCCTGTTAATATAATTCACACGCATATGTTTATAAACAAAGGGGAGAAAAGAAAATCATGCCTCGAAAGTGGAACATGAGTGAGAAGTGAAGATAAGGGCTTGAGCTCACTTGGTGGAGCTTTCTCAGCACAGAAGAAGCCCTGGGTTTGATCGCCAGCCCTGCATAAGCCAGATGTGGTAGCCAGTGTTCAATGGTGTCCTTGGCTACATGGGAAGTTGGAGGTCCAGCTGGGCTAGAGGCCCTCTTTTAAAAATAAAATAAAATAGAGTGAATTTCTATCACTCTGTCAGCTGTTAGAGCAGTGGTTCTCAACAAGTGGATTGTGACCCACTTGGGGGTGGGGGTGTCAAGTGACCCTGTCATAGGAGTTGCCTGAGACCATGGTAAAACACAGGTATTTACATTTAGGATTCATAACAGTAGCAATATTCTATTTGTGAAGCAGCAATGAAAACATTCTTATGGTTGGGGGCACCACCACATGAGGAACTGTATTAAAGGCTCACAGCATTAGAAAGGTCGAGGGCACCTATGTTACGGTGTTAATGGTTAAAGCTCCCGTGGTCTCATGGACACACGAACTCGGCATGAGTGGCTATATCGCCTAACACTCTCTTCATCTTCTGAACCGAACCCACCTAGGTCTTTTCTAGGCACTTTTGCTCCCACATGAAGCCTGAGAAGCACTGTCAAGAGATCTCTGACCTCACGCTCGGCACTGCTTTCCTCACAGTAGTCTTAACCCTTGACACACAGAACTAGGCATGAGGCACAGCACTAAGGACATTCTGTGACTAACACACCCAGCTGCCACAGCAATCCCCCAGCCCTAGGCAGAGTCCACAGCTATTTACAGAAGGGAAACCTGGAGGCTCAGAGACATTGAGTTTCGAGCTGGCCCTAGGAGCTGAGTGTGAATATGGGAGAGCCAGGTGCAGCTCAACCAAGCTCTCGGGCTAGCTCTGCCTTAAGGAAGCCAGGGGGGCCTGAAAGAAGCCAATTCCTTGATAATTACTCTTGCCAGCACCATGGATGTGGTCAGGATTGCTGTAGCTGCTGACCACGCTGAAAGAGTTCAGTCCTAATTCAGAACCTGAGGCATCTTAGAGGATGTTGGCAGCAGTCATACCAGCCAGAAAGAAAAAGGACCAGCTCTTTGGCCAAGTGCCTACACCTTACATCAGGAAGTCTAGGTACCAAATGCAGTGTTCAGTGGACACGAGCGAAGACGTTTTCCTACAATGAAAACTTAGGGAAGCCAGGCACCCATTATTCACATGGAGCCTACACGCTGGCTGTGAAGAGAAAAAAAAAGGATGAGAAAACACAAGATGGAGAGCAGGGCTGTCCATGGGAGCAGTCTGGATTGGTTGGGCTGTAGGTAAGGTGTGGCATCACCTCACAGTGGTGACAAGGTTTGAATTAAGGTTTTAAAGAACATCCAAAATATAACAAAATAAAAACAACAGAATGACTTTTTGTTCTTTGTGGCCTGCAGCTTGTAGTCTGACAAACTCTCTCAGCTCCTCCTTCTGTCCATCCTGCAGTCATTTCAGTTAGATTCAGGGCATGCCAGGGCTGGAGAGATAGATGGCTTAGCACTTAATAGCATGTGCTGCTCTTGCAGACCACCCAGGTTGAGTCCCCAGGACCCACATGAGACAGTTTGCAACAGCTTCTACCTAACTCCAGTTCCAGAAGATCCAATGCCTCCTTGTGGGCATACACACACAGCACACACATGTAATAATAATAATGATGATGATGATGACGACGATGATGATGACGACGATGATGATGTATTTACATGTAGGATAACCCAGACTTTCCCCCTTGTCAATAATAGGAAAAGGGGCATTCTCACTGAAAGTGCTCTCTGCTTGCCAGCCCCCTCACAGCAACGTCTCTGCGGAGTCCCAACGCTGAGCTGCAGTCTGCATGTTGAAACTCTCTCCAAAACTTATTCAGGAAAGGTTTGGTTTCTGGGTGGAGGCCTGGAAAGTGCTAGAGCGTGTTTTTGGCAGTGGGGCTTAGAGGGATGTCCTTGTGGCACTGGCGATGTGCCCGTGAGGAAGACTGTGGGACCATCCTCACCTCCTTTTTTTTTTCTGGCCAAGAGTGGGACAGTTGTCCACAGTCATTGCTGTTGACCATGTCCACCAGAGGCCCCTAAGCAATAGATTTGATGGACTGTGGAGTAGAACCTTCAAAACTGTGAAGCAAAACATCCCTTTCCTATTTGTGAGTCATTTCTCCTCTATTTTCTGAGAGTGATGGAAAGCTGACCAAAACAATTTGCAAATCACTAAGTAAAAAGGCCTAAACTTTTCCTTTGTCTATGCTGAGTTTTAGCTAAGGTATTTATTTACATGGCTTGATTTCTGATTCATATTTTACTTTCCATATGAGGATCATTGCATAGAAAACAAATTTATGCGTAGAACATGCAGTGTGCACATGTGTGTGTGTGTGTGTGCGCGCGCGTGCGTGCATGTGTGTGTGTGTGTGTGTGTGTGTGTCTGTATTGGCATTCATGTAGTGCCTACTAACGACAGCACAATTGCTCTCTTCTTTCACAGTGAGAGAGAATGATAATCTCTAGCTGCCCTTATTGCTCTTATTGTGAAGGAGACGGCAATCTTTAGCAGAGAAAATCTCTGTCTTTATCTTTCCTTCTCCTGTTCCTTTTTTATTAACTTACAAACATCTTACCTTGTCTTCATGTTTCCTTTCCTGTTACAGGAAGTCAATGATCATGGCGTTTCTGGCTTCTAGTTCTTTATCCTCCTGCATGGGAGGCACAATAACTCTTACTGGAATGTTTAGTAAGAAAAACTGGGGTCTTCGCTAATTTCCCTTTTCTTTTTGGAACAAACAGTCTAAAGGAAAGAGACCCCTTCCTGGTCTTCTCTACACCAAGTCTCACCATCTAGCAAGCCACCCTATAGGGGATGTTCGGGTTGGCCAGGCAATTTCTGTGACTATGGAAGTCTACATGATCATGTAGGCCATAGGGCGGATCTCCCATGCTCTAATAGGAATCTTTATCTTCCAACCTGGTCTTTGTCGAGATTAAAGGTAATATTTAATCTCTAGGACTGAGGAGATGGCTCAGCTACTAAGAGCACGTGCTGTGAAAGCAATGGGGGTCTGGGTCTGGAACCTCAGCACTCACAAAAGAGCCAGATATGGCTATGTTCACTTGTAACCCCAGCATGGAGGGTGAAGAGGAGACAGACACAGGTAGATTCTGGGAGCTCACTGATTAACCAGCCTAGCCTGGCTGAATGGCTAGCTTTGTAGGAGAACCTATCTCAACAGAATAAGGTAGAGAGTACACATACACACACATAAACCACACACACACACACACAATGTTTTTGGCCAAACATTTACCAATTTTCTCAGAATCTAGGAACGGAAGAGAGATTATTCGTTGGTTGATCTCACAGAGCACAACAGTAGTAACACTACCTTTCTCTTAAAAGTCAACATAGTCCATGTCCCTATCTTTGAAGCAACCCTGTCTTTGGCTCCAACCCCAGCCCCACTAGAGTGTGGTAAACCTGAGAGTCGTGTGACACATGACCTTGACCATGGGAAAATGAACCTCTCCGTCTGAACTAAGACACGGAGAGAGAAACTGCCTGTTGCTGCAGGATGG